TTAGGGTTTGGGGTGCTTGGGAAACCAACGGGTTGGGCAAACCAGTATCAAAGGAGCGGGGCTGGCGTGGGCAAACCGTGCAAAAAAAACCGCACTACACAAATGTAGGTCCTGGAAGAATAGCATTCTGTGGCGCAAAACGGTGCAAATGTCCCTGGGTTAGGGTTTGGGGTCCTCGGCAAACCAAACGGGTTGGGCGGACCAGTGCCCCCTCCCGGCGGATTTTTGTTTTGCGACGCGCCTGAGGCTTGGATCGGCTTCACCAGCACCTTCTGCCTCTGGATGAACTTCAGCTGGTCCTCGCAAACTGGTTGGCCTTAGGAAAAAAACAGAGCGAGAGATCACCCACCTGAAGTGGACAACAAAGGGAAACGCCCTTGAGCATGACCTTGTGATAAAATAGATGGGTGTCCCGGGTAAATGCAATGAAACCAATCTAAACCAGTGCGGAACCCATCGATTTCTGACCAAACTTATCCAAAAAGGACACCTACGAACATAGGTGTCCTTTTAGGGGAAATAGATGGCCCTGGTAGATGATTAGAGTGCCAGGTAAACCAGGGCCATCTATTTTTCTAGCAAAACAACCAAAAAGGACACCTATGCCTACGAATCCTCTCGGGTTCAGCCCAAAGGGGAAAACTGATGGAACGCACAGGCTAAGTCCTTCTTCCGCTCCACCGCGCTCAGGGCGGTGTCCATGTGCTGGACCTCCTGTGCGCATTGTGTGGAACTTCGGTGGCTGAGGTAGAACTGGCTGTGGTCAAAACCGTTTTGGAATCCCATTTTGGGGGATTTTCACCGGCCACTTTCGGCTTTATTTTAGTTGTTGGATTGGGACGTTCACTGGGGGTACGGGCTTTGGATTTTGACCCATGGCCAGCCTCCCTCACCCCTCAAAACCTGGCAAACCACACTACAAACTGCCCTAAAAACCCCCTGAACCCTCCCATGGCCTGGAAGCATCCTCCCAGCTGCTTGTGCTGGTCATAGCGCCCATCCTCCCGCGCGTGCGGCGCTGGCGCCGGCTGGCTCCGGTGCTTCAAGCGCTTGACGTGGCCTGCCTGCTCCAGATGGAACCGCTTCTGCCTGAGAGCCATCCGGCGGCTATGCTCCAAAAGTACACCAAAATCGGGGAAAAAAACGTGTTTGTTGATGAGCCGAAAAAGTTCAATGCACAGCTTTCGGCCACCCCGCTGACATCTGGCCATCTTCAGGCGAGGAATTGCTTGCTCAGTGTCCCCAACCGGAGTCCACGTCCGCCCTTGCAGAAACAATGTGGGGCTTGCGGGCGTTTGCATGGCGGACCTCTCGAAAAAGGAGTGGACATTCCACTGGAGAAGTCCCAGCTGAACGCACCAATTCCCCTCGAGATGTGTCTTCAGAGAACCAAACGAATCTAAGTGCTCCGACCTAAACAACCATGGGAAGGTGCAGGTGTTTCCCCTTTTCCCCTTTGGCAAGCTTCCCGCTTCCAAATCAAAAACTCAAACGCGAGGATCTGTCACATCTCTTCCCGCATTCCCGCGCACACTCTGGGGGAGGCAACCAAAGGGTCTCGTGGAACCAGTCGAAGTGTGAGACCTCCATCGACTTCTCGCGACCGAAGGCGCATCTGCGCCATAGACTCCACGTGGCCGCTCAGCCGGCTGCGGCACCTCTCCTCGTGCACCAGCAGCTCCGGCAAGGTCTGGCTGGAGGCAATGCACCGCTTCAAAGTCGAGCCCTCCATGGCGGAGGCCGAGGTTCGAGCGGAGGAAATGCGTAGCTTTTTGACCCCAAGTTGAATGGGACCCAGATGGAGGAAAGTCTCCTGAGACACCGGAAAGGAAGGCGGGCTATCCCAAAATAGAAGGCGACTGGCGTGAAATGCTGGCACAAACCATCTGGATAGCTGGCCTCAGGTGTTTCGTCTGCCCCTCTTAACGGTCTTTCCCACCAGCTTGCGACTGGCGATTGAACCAAATGCGGCTTCAGGCACGCAGAGCAGGCCCGAGAAAAAGAAGAACAAAAAACGCACGCAGGAGCTGCGTAAGTGGATTCTGCCCGGCCCACTGCCTGACCCACAGCTTCAATTCTGCTTCTGACCTTGGCTGCGACGCAGAGGCTGGCCGCGCCCGACTTTTCCAACGACTCCGCCCCAAGATGCGACGCACACATGCGAAGCCGCTCGGGAAATCAGGGGCCGCTGGATGAGCGGACTCTGGGGTCAGGCAAGGAGGCCTCTCTTCTTCTTGTGCTTCCTCTTTTTCCTATCTTGCTCTTGATGGAGAACACTAAACCTAAACTCACGTGCCTTGAGGAGAAGCCAGCAAAGCTGTGTTGACCCCAACCAAAACTACTGCTACACGAAGTCCGGAGTGGTGACGCACACATGCGAAACCACTTGGGACGAAGGTGTGCAGGAGTGGCGGCCAAAGCCCTCTTCACACTTGACAATATTGTGAGTCTACGTTGATCCACAAATTTGCATGGGAAAACATGCTTCAGCCTCCTTAGAATGCCTGGCTGCATATTGTCTGTCTCTTTCTTATAGGTGTGGGCTCAACAGGCGGCCTTCCTGGCTATGTGGTTCTGGCTGCCCTTGTGGGCGCCTCGGCCGACACATCAACAAATGTCCTGGCAACCCTCACATCACCCCATGTCTCGAAGGATGGCGTGTGCTTCGGCTTCACTGCTGGGCGCGGCTTGAAGCTCACTTTTGTCCTGCGGGGCAAGCTCGCCACCACCTCCCGCACCGCATACAGGAAGTCTGGAGAGACGATGATGTGAAACTTCTTGAGGTCCCAATTCCCCTCGAAGTACCGAACCACAGCCTCGTACTCCCACGCATGGACGAAGACCTTCACCCCGCAGTCCAGTTCTGGCCTGAAGCCGCTTGCCTCGAGTGCTTTGCGGCATTCCTCCAGAGCAGGATGTTGCAAGAGGGCCTCGCGATATTCTTCCGGGCTGCGGGACACCTCCAACAGCCAGCAGGTGGGCTTCTTGCGAAGCAAGGCGTGGCTCACTTCTTGGTTGGCGACGGTGACGTCGCGGGCGGCGACGGCATCTGCCTCCAAGCTCTCCGGGTGGGTGACGTGAACGTCCCTCACATACTGAATCATCCTGTCGAGCTCCCGCAAGACGCGGTCCGAGTTCAGGCCGGAGCTGGTGGAAAATGAGCGATGCTCGTTGTTGCATGCACGATCATGCATCCCGCACAAGTCGGCCAGAAATTCCTCGCTCAAGCCTTCCAAGCACTCCCGCTGATGGTCTTCGGGTGTTGAGCTGACAATAAACGCATAGGCGTAGTAGTTCTGTGCCCAGTGCATGACAAACTCCAGAGAGCTTTGCCTTTTGTGATTCCTGAGGGCCTGATCATCATATAGAGTCACAGAAGCTCTGCGGAAACAGGCGTTGTAGATACCTGAATCGATTTTCCGCATCCTCGCGCAAGCCCAAACGAAGTTTGCCACGTTTTGGTCCTTGAACTGTGGCATCTGACGCAGAGCCATGGGACACAGCGCATGCAGTATGTGAGTGTAGTGCAGCTTTGCTGTTGCCCATGCCATGTTGGAGAGGCATTGGGGTTCTGGTATGCCCGATCCATTCTCCATGCCTGCCACTGCTCCTTCAATCTCTACCAGGAGCATTTCATCACGACACTCAGCCTTCCCATATGACCACAGAAGCTGAGAAACGTGTCGGCTCGACAAGTTCTGGATGCCGTCCTTGCGTAGAGAAATGCCGCGCGCCAAGATCCGAAGCACGCTCCTTTGGTCACCACCTAGCTTTGCAAAATGCCACGCCAACCGCACAAGCAGCTCTGCGCTCGATTGGCGAAGTAGCGCAAGTGTGCTGGGGCCTGCAAGCTTGATTTCAAAAGACTCCAGCAGGTATGGGTGTGGCAGTTTGACTAGACCCGCCAGGATGGTTGGCCAAAGACCGAGGCAAGTCTCTGAATGGGACTGTAACACATGTGCTCTGAGCGCACCAACCAAGATCAAGAAGTGGTCATCTCCCAACAAACGCTGCTGAGCCCCGTCATCATGACGGAAGGTGCAAAACACTGCATCATACTCGGCCGACATGGTGCCAAGCAAGAAAAATGCCTGCGCCAAATCTTGAGCAGCAACAGCGGTGATGTCCGGCGTGTTTGCGACTAGCTGAAGGATCTCCCCCTCTGTCTTGGCTCCTTGCACTGACTGCTTAAAGGACACTTCTCCAGCAATCAGCTCGCCTGCGACTTCACCGTAAGTGTTCACGATGCTCTGGTCAGCACCCAGTTGAATCAACTTCCTGGCCGTCTCAGCGTCCCTGTTGAAGCACGCAAGATGCAAGGCTGTGCAGCCGTCACTCGCACGTTGCGCGTTGAGGTCAAAACCAAGACGCGCTAGATGATCCAGCACCAGCGACTTCTTGTCCTTTGCCAGCTTGTGTATGATTGTATGCTTGTGCTTCTGGCCTCCGTCCACGTAGTTTTGCAGGGGTTCCAGCCCGAAGCGTTGAGCCATGATGTCGAAACTCTCGATCATGCGTTGCTCATCACGCTCACGCAGCCAGTGCCCCACTGCCTGACCGGCTGTGAATGCCAACGACATTGCTTAAAGAGTGGCCGCAAAATTGTCGTGCTGTGATTTGAGTGCAAGCAAAATCAGAAGCACCCTGGGACACATTCAAATCTCCATCTTTCTGGGTATGGCAACCTCAGCCCGTTACTTTTAGCGTGTTCCCGCTCGAACCCAAGCGTTTGGAAAGCTAATCACACAAGCGAACACTGGATGTCAACATAGGTCTTTGAAACCAGGTTTTGCGGGAATTGGTCTAAGATCATTGCTCGCCTCTTGCTCCCAATCTGGAAAAACAGAGACCCGGTGGATCTTCAAACAGCAGTTTCACACAGAGTCCGCTTCCCAGTCAAACTCTTATTTCAGCAAGGGATTTCCCGTGCCGGGAGGTCCCCAACCAACTTGATCAACCGGATATATCTCCCCGGTGCGGAGGGCCCCTTGGCCCCGGGCAGACGTCCACGGCATCAAATGAGGCGCGGACCCCTGACGTCGCTGGGATCTGATTGATCCCAACCGGATCGACCTTTCTGATTGGGCGATGGCAGTTGCAAGGAAAGTAACAGAAAACCAGGCAGGAAAACAAACAAATACCATGAACTATTGCCAGTTTCTTGGCATCGGATCAAAATTCAAACACGGCTCTTGATTTGGATCAACCTACTGCCAGCGGAAAAACAAGCAACACACATGGCCATTTGGCCATGGGTCAAAACCCCGTACCCCCAGTGAACATTCCCAATCCCCACTAAAATAGACTAAAATGATTGGTGCAACTATCCTTGGTTTTGAACCATGACCATTTGTCAGTGTTTAAAAGCCTTTTGAGCTCTTTGCGCGGCCCTTGGCACCCCTTTCCTTCGCACGTTGCTGAGTGTGATTGGACACTCGGAGCCCATCGGGCGCGACACGGATGCCAGACATGGCCGGGTTCACTTGCATCAGCTCATTGCCTCTCTGCTTGGCACGAAACAAGTGATCGCCGCATTCTTGCGCGCCATCTTTTGGTACACCTTCTTGCTTTGGTCCGTGAAAGGAAACCGAGAAGGACACCTGTCCGTTCTTTGGGAGGGGTGCCCCTCCCACCACAAACTGGTGGGGCCTCGGGACTCGGAGCGAGAACTGCCTGGATTGCGCATGACCACCTGGAAGATCTCATAGCTCATCTCGTCATGGACATCGTAGCGGAAGCCTGGCAAACGTTAGGATCTTCTTTCTTCCTTTTGGAAGAGGGAAGGGGAGGCTCTTATTTTGGTTTCAGAGGACACCAAAGGAGGGGGAACCAAAGGGAAACCGCCGAACTAGTGTGGTTTGTACTTTTCTTTTGGAGAAAAAAAAAAGGATCAAAAGGAGACCCGCCATTCTAGGGACCGACTCCTTTTTTGAGAAACACGAGGCTGGGAGGGTCAAACAAAGCCGGCGTGCGAGCCACGTCCCACTTGATGACCCTGGTTGCAAGTAGGCTGTGCAGGTCTCAAGGAGGTATGGGGGGGTGTTGCATTTCCTTTCCATTTCCTTTCCATTCCATATTGCCTGTCCGTTTGTCGCTTTTCTGTTTTCTTAGTTGCTGATTGCTTTACCTCTTGGGTTTGGGGTCAAACCCGGCCTCTTGCCAAGGCTCCGAAACAGAAACCCCGTGCTGAAGCCCACAGGATCACCCCAAAGGGATCGGCTGGAAGATCCTGCAAACGGGAGCTGGGTGACTGGAAGCTGCATATGGCCATGGGTCAAAATCCAAATCGTACCCCCAAGTGAACGTTCTTTTGGTTCTCAACATCAGATTTGGGGGGTTAAACCACCATGGACCCACTTGAACCAACTTGAGACCCAGAAAAAAACCCGAAAATCCACGCGGCGTGGCGCCCAGTTTTCATTTCCCTGGCCTTCCAGAAGGATGCAGTCCAAAACCACCTGTCGCGTCTGTCGTCTCGAGCGCTGGCGTGCGTGCGGAGGCGAGAACCAAGACATGCGAACTCCGTGTTCTTCATGGGTTTGTGTGTGTGTGCTCACGGGGAAATATACGTTGTGGGTGCACAACTTCTCTTTCCTTCAAGTTTGCAAAGGGGGCAGGCTGCGAATTGGCCGAACGAGCAGAAAGCAAGCACCTTCACTTCCAAGCCTCGCATCAGATTTGCCCCACTGGAAGATCGGCTCATTTCGGGTCACTGGGCTGGGTGATTGAGACTTGCTTCGGCCGGGAGTCCCCAGTCCCCGACGTCAGTCCCTTCCCCGTCCCGCCTCCTTGAGCTTGTCAAACTCCTTGTAGCACTGCGCCTGCTTTCCGCCGAAGGCGCGCTAGGGGCCAAGCTCCCAGTTGGGAAACATCGAAGGGATTTGGGTATGGGTCAAAACTAAGCCACCAGAAACGCAGATGTTAGTCCATGTGTCCATTTACCAGGGCAACCCATTTTGGCTACATATTTTTGACCCACAACCATTTGTTGCCTTTGATGATGAAGTCAAGATTCGGATCCAAACACCATAAAGATTCACCTGAGTTCAATAATATGAAGACCCGCCCCACATGTAGTTGAGATCATGTGGCTAGGCCCTAAGGAGCAACCAAAAGACTCAAACACGCGCTTCGACCTCAGGTCTCCAGAACATTACAATGCTATTTATTATTTTTGACGGCAGAAATCAAAGGGAAACCGAAAAGCCCGAGGGTGGGTTGTGAGACACCTACCCGTCTGCCCGTCTGCCACAGGTGTATTCTGACAAACCCTGAAAATACAAGATCGGAGAATCGAAAAAGGGGGGAAAGAAACAAAAACAAAAACAAAACACGTCTCTGGCCCCCAAGTTTCCACTGATCATTGTGGGGCTTTTCGGTCGCTGTCAAAAAATCGCAGGGAAGTCCAAACCAAGCTGCGATTTAAAGAGAAAAACACGTGGCCGCCAAAAAGCCAAGGTGTCGCAAGGTGACAAGCGGGGTTGGGGCGTTGCCACCTGTTTTGGACCTTGAAGCACCAAATTGAGTTCTTGAAATTTTCCATTTGAAAGTAGCCGTGGTCGTTCAAGTTTGCAACCAACTCTGGTTGCACCAACAAACATGACACCAACGATTCGATGTTCGTTCAAACATGCATGGTGCATCCCACTATCTTGGGTCTGTCCTGGCATTGGGAACCCTGCGATCAAGGGGAAAACCAGAAACCCTCCTCCCCCTCCCCCCCCCCTCGTCCAATGGAAACATCTGGCTAAGCAAAAACTTCCCTGGCCGGATTCGCCTTTGCCCCGGCGTCCACACTCCCATGCGACACCACCGTCTGGCAGATGACGCCTCCGAGAAAAAAGAGAAACTCGGATCGCCACCTTTGCCTTTGGAGACTCAAAAACGAAGCTGCTCGGAAGCCACGGGGCATGGCGCGCAAAGGGCAAAAACCATAAAGGAGTCCAAGGGAAATCGCGAAGAAATGGCCAAGATGTTTACTCCTCCAGCCACTTCCCCCCCCATGCCCATGCAGGTGAGTGGGAGCTTGCTAGAAACGCCCCGTCCCAAGGTTGGGTCAGAGACTGCCTCGCGATTGGCTCCCACAAGTTTTGTGGCACAGTGGGTGCCTCTCATGGTGCAAGTTCTGAAACCAGTATGTACCATCGAAGACGCCGTCTGCAACCAGCAGCGCTCTTGCCCTTGCGGCCACCTCTGGTTCTCTAAGGACTTCCCAATGAGTCAGTATTAAACTCATTGCGTCATGTTGCAAATCAGGTCGCCTAGACAAGATTGGAATCTGAAGCAAAACCCTCACTGTGTCCAGTTTGTGGCCTTGCCAGACACACCTATCTCAGCTTGAACTCTGGCTAGTGTCAATCCCATACAGCCAGCTACTTGCTAGCATTCTTGGAACTCACTAAATCCTTCACAGAGTCATGCCCCGGGCGTTGCAGAAATCAGGCAGTGAAGACTGTTGTCTGAGCTTGGAGCAGAAAGCCCTGTCATTTCATCCGAAGTCTCAAACCGGACTGGTGATTTTCATCTGTGGCAGCCGTGACGAACGGAGGCCTGTGACGGTATTCATCACCATCACGTTGGTGAAGAGGATATAACCTTGCCAGCTCAGCGGCTTGAGCTTTTGGGCGCACGAATGAACGCCTGGGCCACCGAAAAACTTTTGGGGTGCACCTCTCAATGATTCCTATTGATTGATGCGTTTTGACACTCCGTCAAACGATTGATGAAGATCGGCGTGCCGTATTTACATACAGAGAGAGAGAGAGAGAGAGAGCGAGAATAGAAAGAGAAAAGGAGAGATAGAAAGAGAGACAGACAGAGACAGCGCGAGAGAGACAGCGACATGTATTTCTAATGTGTATATATATATATATATATATGTCTATAAGCACAGTATGCACATGTCGCACCTAAGCTGGTGCTTCACTTCTTGCTGGGCACCAGTGCTTCTCAATGAAGGGATTGCTAGCTAAAAACCGACCAGCAAACAAAATGACAAATTGTTGTAAGCGTTGCGAGGATGTATCTGAAGTGAGGAATTGTCGAAGCCGGGAATTATGTTTGGCAAATAGCTGTGAAGCTGAAAAAGCTAAGAGTCACCTCTGCCATTTTGAAGGGTCGGGACAGTTTTAACACGCCAGATGCCTCCAAGCCTGCCTGGAGACAAAGTGAGGAGATGTATTTAGCGAAATCCGTTGGAGCTAAACGCGAGGTGCCTTTTGTTCGTGACGACCAACATGACAGAGAAAACACCATGCAAAGGCTGACATTTGGTAGGCAGTTTAACTCGTTTTGTAATATGAAGTACCCTGCAGAAAACTGGGCTCGGCACACACAAAGTAGATGTACCAAAGCCAGCCGTTCTCCTCAGCCGGTTCTGGAAGCAGGACGCTTTGCAAGTGATACACCAAGGCAGCGACAAACACATGTTCTCCAAACCAAATGTGTCCCTTTGTGTCCCTTCACAAATGGGCCTGCAGAGCATTGATCTTCTGGGGCGATCTCTGGGAACACTCGGTCCGTTCTGCGAAATTAGAGAGAGCTCATTGGGTCGGGCGTTTGAGAAATCAGCTCTTGACCCTTGGTATGTTTGGCCCGGCGCAAAGATGGGCTCTCGAATTGAGCGACGCTCCACATGACTTTCTTGCCAGTTCAAGAAGACCAAACAAAAGCAACAGATCCGATTTGACACATGGGGTGTCTCGAACATGGATCTGGCAAACACCCAAATACAAAAGGGGGTGGAGGATTTCACCTCACTTAGCCCCACTGGTCGCCAATGGTTCACCAGTGACTTGAATTGCCACAGAGTCCAGTCATTTTTGGTTTCCTCCTTGAAACACCGGCACAAGCTCACCCTAAGATCCAACACCACCCGGAGGATGCAACCTTCCTTCAACTCAAATGATTTTTGAGGGTTGATTCCCTTCTTTTCAACCATCGTTCTTTCCAAAAACCGGATCCGTTTTCCCCGGGTCTCCGGAGGTTTTCTAGAAAGGTTCGCATCCCTCGATTCAGAATGGCCGCGAAAAGGTACCCCAAACGACCCCACAATTTCTTCCCCGCTCCAAATCTCCGCGCCCAAACCAAACCGAAACCTCGGCGCTCGCGCCTGCGCAATGGCCGCCACCAGCTCTGGAAAGCCCTCCACCGTCAGGATCTCACACGACGCGAGGCGCTACGCGCGGGGTGGCGTTCGGCGGCTTCTGGTGGAGTTTGTCTCAGGTGCAAACCCTTTGGCGCAAACCTCAGAGTGGCTGGTGAGGCCCAAATCCGAGGGTCGTTTTCCGACCAAGGTCTCGTCTCAGACACCCAAGTGGCCAACTACTGTGTTCACACTTATTTCTAGCAAACCAGCATAGCATGAGAAAAGCGAGAGCCGAAGAAGAAAAAAAACATCCTTCTGGGGCAACCACTAACACACCGCATGGTGCCTGTGTCCTGGCTTCCTTCGTCAAATGCCTGTGTCCTCATTTCAATGGTATCCCCCACCAAAACGCCAGGATCCCGCAGAAGTGAAGATACTAGGAAGGGTACATGAGCTCGCATCCCATGTCGCATTAGAGGGATGGCGTTTGAAAACACAAGCATGAGTCACCAAGTACTTAGGTTCGTGTTCGGAATTGGCAGGACTGCGAGGCAACAAGAATCAGCCAGGTCAATACAAAGAAACAACCAGGATCAGGCAACAAATGCGATGGCAGCAACAAGTCCGAATTTGAGTGCAGTAGCATCAGCGAGCCAAGTACACGCAGTGCACGTGCTGGCAGCAAAGTGTGTCTTCTGTTTGCCTTGCTTCACTTCGGACTAGCAGCTTCCCTTCACCTCGCTTTGGGCGCCGCCTGGCTTTCCTTGGCGTCTCGAATCTCAGCAGCGGGCCACGAAGTGGATGTAGAGACTCGGGAAGACCGAGCCGAAGTTGTCGCCTGAGCTCCGAGCGCCCGCGGCCCAGGGGCCCAGGGGCCCAGTGCCCGCGAAGACACCGAGGAGACACGAACGGGTCCCAAGGGCGGGGGCCGGGATCGCATCCGTCACAAAGGTTCCAGCAGTAGAGAGAGATACGATGGGATAGGATAGGAGAGGATGGGATAGAAAGCTTAGGGTAGATTTGATTTGATTTGATTGATTTAGATAGATAGATAAATTAGATAGATTGATAGACTGATAGATTGATAGATTGATAGATTGATAGATTGATAGATTGATAGATTGATAGATTGATAGATTGATAGATTGATAGATTGATAGATTGATAGATTGATAGATTGATAGATAGATAGAGAAAAGTCCGCCCAACAAGCGGCGGTTCCAGCAAAACCAGCCCCGAAGGATGAGGAAGGTCATACCCAACTCTTTGCCGTCGAGCCACCTGTGATTTCAATGACTGCCCCACGAAATCGAAGCAGCGATTCCCCTCGCCCCAAGACTTCAGAGCTACCCAAGTGGTGTCGGCCATGTGTGTCCACATGTCCAAACAGCAGGCCCAAAAGGGTTTTGGAGTATCTCAAAATCCGGGCAACCAAAAATTTGGAGGACTTTGGTGTTGGGCTGCCGTTTACACGCCCAAAACGGGCTTCATCTTTGGGATTTCGATTGGGAACCCTTCCAACCTCAAACTTAGGTGGATTTCCACGTCTGACCATTTCAGAGTCCATTTCCCCCAATTGAAACACTCGAGGTTTGACGTCCACCACCAACCATAGGATCTCCGCAAGACCCCAACCTGGGCCTCGCGCGCACCAAGGGCACCTTGGAGTTGCTGAGCAGCACCGTGCAGCTCAGAGCGGAGATGTACCTGAAAAACTTCACCATGGCCAGTGGGCAGTGGGCAGCCCACTGGATTTGTTTCCCATCTCACCTGAGGTTGTTGGGCTTTTTGTCCAGGGGTTGAGCCCTTTTCCCATTCTTTTCAACCATCGTTCTTTCCAAAAACCGGATCCGTTTTCCCTGGGTTTCCGGAGGCTTTCTAGAAAGGTTCGGATCCCTGGAAAGACTGAGGAAGGTACCCCTAGAATGGCATGGCATTCGAAGTCGCGCGGGCAAAGAGAGACAAGGAGTCGTCGACACCCGCCCCAAACTGGGTGGGAGCCAAGCAAAAAAAGGCCGTTGCAAATGTCAAGGAGGGATTTCGGACCCCCCGCCGATTGGATTTCAATTGTCTTCCTTTTGGTTGCAAACAAAACGGGCAAGAGGGGCATTCCCAAGAGAGTAGAGTACCAAAAATCCATTCGTCCGAAGATGAGGGGGTGGGCACGGCTTTCCCTCTTTGCTTGGAGTTGGACTTTCTCAAAATGGCGAGGCCCCTGTTGGTTGGTATTTAAAGGGAAACCCAAAGGAAACCAACCTGTGGAGGGGACTACTATTCTGAGAAACGCCTAAGTGCTTTTGTCTCCCTTCGAAGAACATGTGAGAGAGAAAGAGTCCCCTTGAAAAGGCGGCCAATTGAGATGAAGAAACTCCAGTTGTATTATCTGTACTTTGTGGTACTTTTACGGCTCCAATGCAGGCCAAATGTAGTAGTCCAAACCCGCGCTGCCGCGCCATCCCCATCTCCCGCTCCGCGACTCAGGAGTCACATGAAGACAAAGAGCAGCAGGAAGACCCAGGACACGGCTCGAACCGCCCTGAGTCTGCTTGCACTCCCTCACCGGACCGGCCGGGGTGCGGCGTTCAAAGGTACGGTTTTTGCGGGTTCAAAAGGGGATTTTAAGGGAAACACAAATTCGCTTGGGGGTTACCGACATGAATGTGGTTTCCCTTTGGAGGTTCAAACACACCTTGATTGAAGGTTCCCTCACACACCAAATGCCCAGCGGCGAGACCAAGCTGGTGCAGATCTTGTAGAGCTTCGGGCCTGAGCCCCCACAGCGAGCCTCTCAGACTCTCCGGGCGGCTCGAAGCGAACCTAGAGGTGCAAAACGTAGTTCACCCAAAAACGGGGACCTTCGTAAATACTGGAGATATCGGAAAGGGGGTCCCTATGATTCTGCGAGGAAACCCGAGAACGCAAAGGCCAAAATATGTCCTTCAGGTTCTGCAAATAGACAGACCACATCGCTCTCCTCCAGTGACCCTCTTGATGTTAACACCAAAGGACACTCTTCCCCCTTTCACGGTCCTGGCACCCAATTTGGGGTCAGGAGAGGTCCCTGACACACCCATTGGGACGCCTCAATTGGGGCTCCCAGCACACGCGGATCAAGCGCACCACCCGCAAGATGCGGAGCAGCCGGAAGATCCTGCAGCAAAAACTGCCACCCAGCGCCGGCTGAAAGGCGAACGTCCCAGCAGTGACTTGTGGCTGTTGCCTTCTTCCTTGCTGGTGCTCAGTAGGGAATCTGGGAATCAACCCAGTCCCCTTGAAGGAAACCACAGCGGATGGTTTTTATAGGTCAGTCGAACTCATTCCCTGCCGAAAATGGCACCAAGGCTCAGTGGGGCAAGCCGACCTCGGATTGTGAGCTGGTCCACGAATTCTCCAGTGAACCGTCTTCACACGTCAAAGGTCAATCATGCCTGCTATATGTCAAAGCACTCCGGCCTCCCATAAGAGTTTGTGTGAGAGGAGTTCATGCACTGGAAAAACAGACCCCAAGAACAAAAAATGCAACAGCCAGGAATCCCACCACGGCAGGTCACACCGCGGGTTTTCTTCGATTGCTCCACTGTGTCTGGCGGGTCGAAGCAAGCGGGTGTCTTACTTGTAAGGGAGCCAACATCCAGTGTCATTCTCGATCTCCACCTCGGACACATAAATACATCGAGCCTACGCACGCAAAATTGTCCTTTACATGGAAGCAAACTACCCCCAAACGCAATTTTGAGAACCGTCCATCACCCTTTCACCAGGGTGAAGGTAGATGGCACAAGTGTTATTTTTCAGAAAGGGTGATGATGTAACAAAATTGGGGAAATGTGTCAATCTACTTTCACCCAACGCCTCTTCACCTTGGTCGCAAGCAAAAGCGGCTCCGGCTCCGATCAGGACCCGCCTCATCACAGACAAGGCGCCCAGCAGCACGCTCTCGCCCAGCGCAAAGAAGACAACATACCTGATAAAAGCTATGCCTTGCTTCAAAACCACCAAAAAGAAAACAGGGCAAGTGCCACAGAGAAAAAGGGGTGAGCCGAAAAGGTTTTGACACGGAAGTCAAGACTTATCAAACATGAAAGCCAGGTGGACAGGGAAGCTTGCCAGGCTTTTGCTTTTCTCCCTGGTGGTAATGCTATGTCTCAAACGTGCTTGGGGAGAACTGACATCAGATTCGAGATGAGTTACCGCCACGCTGTAGGAACGAAGTGCGAGGGTTCTTTTCTGTCTGTTGCAGGAATGGCTATTGCAAAGTCTTCCAACGGTCGGAAACGCATGTTCCAATCTTTACAGAATCTGGATATGGCCATGGGTCAAAATCCCGTAATTCAGTGAACATCCCAATCCAAACATGAAAATAGACTAACATGTGCACCTACCCCAAAATAGGATCCCATTGGTTTTGACCCACAGCCATATTGACAGTCTTTGCTGACAAGAGAGTCGTTAAAATTCGACCACTGATTGGACGCACTCCTTCTCTTGAGGAGCATCTTCATCCAAGGGTTCAGTTGACCCTTGGGGATTCTTGGCGTTCGGCCGGGGGAATGCGAAGCATTCTCGGCCGCCACACCTGAAGTACGGCTCATGCCTCAAATGCGTCAGCTGCATCCTGCCCATACTTTGCAGTCGCAGGCTTGCCAGCGTGGCGACGGCGGTAGTTAGGCCTCCCAACGCCAACAGCAGACCTGGCAACCAGGAGGTGACAGAAGCGGCCTCGAAGACCATCGGCGCAAAACCGCCGAAGAAGCACACGCCCACGTTGTAGCTGAGACCCACCCCCGCATTGCGCACTTTGACTGGGAATAGTTCGGCCACCTGCAGGAAGTGCATCATCAGGAATGCGCCGAAGAAGCTATAACCCAGGGAATAGAGGATGACGGCTGACCAGGGACTCCCAATCATCACTGACCATTCAATCATCATCATCAGCGGCATGCCCAAAGTGGCCAGGGCAAGGCCGGAAAACACCTGAATCCAAGCCGCTCCCTGCTGGTCCGTGAGCCAGCCCACAAAAGGGGCGAGCAGGATTTGCAAGAAGTTTGCGCCGCAGCCTGCTATGAGCCGGAAACTGCTTGACAGGCCGTCCTTTTTCAAAGACACCAACCCCCAAGTCATGCCACCGTAGAGCACAATGGACACGGAGGCCACTGCTCCAAATCCGAGTACGACCTGAGGCCAGTACGAAGCCAGCTGCCGTGTCTTCGAGCAAGCGCTGCTGGAATCATGGGCCCTCGCTTCCAGGAAGACCTGGGCATGGGTCAAAATCAAACCACCAGCGGACCGCAGGTCATGGACCATGATCCCACTTACAAGGGGGGCAGGTGTTGGTCCATGTTGACACTTACTAGGGCAGCCCATTTGGTATTTTTTGACCCGCAGCCACCTCGGACTCCGGGATGAAGCGACGACCCCAAGCCGCCACTCCGCCTGGGAGGATGGCCAGTAGGAACGGCACACGCCAGCCCCAAGACATCATCGCAGCATCCCCCAGGATCTCCTCGGCCGAAAAAACAATCAGCTGGGCGCAAAAGCTGCCCAGGGTCGCGGTGACCGGGATCAAGACCAGAACCCGCGCCAAGACGCGGGGATCGCAGATCTCCGTGATGTAGGTGGATACCGATGCAATTTCCCCACCTGCCGAGATCCCTTGAAGCAGTCGCAGGAAAACTAGGAAGCACAAGCCGATGATGCCCGCCACCTGCCCATCTTGGAAGGAGGGAAGCAATCCTTGAAGCACCGTAGCTGCCAGCATTCCGAAGATCGACAGAAAGGTTGAGACCTTCCGGCCAAACAAATCCCCCACCAGACCCAGTACGACGCCCCCAAAGGGCCGTGCCACGAAAGTAATGGCGAAGCCCAACCAGGTCACCACGGCAGAGCCTTGAAAGAAATTCTCCTCAAAGTAGGGCTCAAGAAAGCTGAAGAGAACAAACTCATACCATTCCAAGGCATTACCCAACAGCAGCGACCAATACGTCTTCACTACGTGCCACACCGGCCATTTCTGGGCAGCCATATTGCTTCCTGGACAGCTTGAGCCGAAGCTTCCGGAGCGAGGCGAACCGTTTTGGAGATGCAGCACCATTGCACAGCTGGCTCTCAAGAATTTAGGATGCCCAGGAAGTTGCATACGTTTCGTCTCCACGTGACGTGCCGCAGTCAATGTTCCCGAAATCCAGAATTCGTGACACCGAAGCACCAATGAAAGTTGAGAGGTCCATGTCACCATAAACGATGTTGAGCAGGACACTAATGGAACGTAAACAGCCAACGACAAGTAGCTCGGAAAATGATGATGATCATGATGATGATGATGATGATGATGATGATGATGATGATGATGATGATGATGATGATGATGATAGAACAAGGACGAGGACGAGGACGACGCCGATGATGATCATGATCATTATCATGATCACGATGACGACCATGATGATCATGATCAGGATGATGGTCATGATGATGAGCTTTCAGCATTGCTTACATGCGGCTTGGTCAAAACCATCGCTACCATTCCAAGTGATTTGAGGGCCAGTCGCAGGCACGTCCACATGGGGCACTCGGCGATGGAACACGAGATGATGAGCGCATCCAGCAAGTTCGCGAAGATCCTCAGTCGCGACCGCACGATGTTCTCAAGTTCGGATGGCCTTTTTGGATGGCTTTGCACATGTTTGATTGAAAAAAGCTATCCTTCTTGGATGGTTTTGCAGTTGTTGTTGCTTTTTTCTTTTTTGTGTATCCCTTTTCGATGGTTGTGCAGGAAAACGAAAAGGACTCCATTTTTTTTGGGGGGGGTCCCTATTTTGAGACAAAGCCAAGTGGCGAAGTTCGGCAGCCTTCGGTTGTCAGCCAACCCAGCTTTCTGAGATTGCTCAGAATCCAAATTACTGCGTTTTGAGGTGCCTTGACGTATCCATTTCATAGCACAGGTTTGGGCCCACTGTTGAGCCCGCGATGCCTAAAGCTCCGCGTATCTCAAATCTCTGGGGCGCCGGCAGCAGATATCTGCAGCCTTCCGTGTGGACCTGCAAGTAACAACCCCTTTTGGCCTTCCGCCTGAGGAAACCTCGCGGCATGTGGTTGGTGGCTTGCCTTGGTGGCTTGGTGCAAACTGCCCTTGGTGGCTTGGTGCAAGCCCCTCCAAACGGCTGAAAAACGCGCGGACATCTGCGCGGCTCGCTGGAGCTTCGGCCTGGGCCTTCCCATCAAAGCGCCTGCACCTGGGCCTCCCTGAAATCCAAGCGCCCGGCTCGAAGGAGGAGCTCCAGAACGAAGATGATCAGGAGGCCGAACCTCGTTGGAAATGGCTGGGAGACCAAGAATAGGGTAACCCCCAAATGGAACCTGGACGCAAACCGGCAGCAGACAAAATGGAAACATGGACTAAAACCTGCGGTCCATATCCTACTACACCCATGGCCCCCAAATTTTGGGTTTCAGAGAACTTCCCATTTTTTCCAGCGGCTCCGATGGCCTCGTCAGGCCTCGAAGTGCCCTTGGGGTCTAGAAAACTGGGGGGGGAGGGGCGCTGGCGGCCCTGGCTCGGGATGAACGCGGCTTTCTTTATTTTTGCTGCATAGATGTAGAGATGTACCATTTTTTTTCTCCACTCCGCGGCCCTCGCTTTCGTTTTTCTGGAAATAGAGATGTCGTATGTTTTTTTTCTCCACTCCCCCTCAACCCCGCCAACCCCAAACCCCAAACCCCACCAAACCCCAAAACCCAAAACCCAGAAGACTCCACCGCCTGAGATCCCGTCTGGATCCAGAAGAGTTCCTGGCGCCACTCCTCCACCCCCCGCAGGCCCAGCTCGATGTCCAGACCTCACTCCCATCGGCAAAAAGTCCCTGGTGCTCAGTGTTGAAGAAATGTTGTTCGCTTGGCTCAAAAATATGTACCAAAATGGCACCTTGCTAAATGGAACCAAAGCCTAAAACCTGCGTAACCCTAGCTCTTTAATTTTGAGACACAGAAACATGTGTGCAAATGTAAACTAGATGCGCTACATTTACACATCTTTAGAGCCTGGTGTGTGTTTGTTCGCCTGTTTGTTTTTCGTAAACTGCGTTTCTTTTTGGAACTGGTTCAAAGGCATTGCGTGGTCTTTAACAAGTATTCAGCAAGGCTTCCGCCAAGACGGGGCCGTGTTGTAAGAAGGGTTTCCCCCTCAAAGGTGTCCCCATGGAAACTGCCACTTTTCACTGGATATCCCCCCTCAGAACGAACCCATGCACGCGAGACTCCGACGTGCTGCAGTTGCAGCCCGTTGAGTCACCCACTCGTGGCGATCACACTAGAAACCGAAGGATGTCTGCAGCAGCTCAATCCGGACTCGTTCAATGTGGCCATGTCCGCCAACACAAATTCATCATGACACCAAGGAAGAAAAGGCGGTGCCGGGGGTTGATGACTCGTCAGATTGCAGCAAACTCCTCCCAAACCTTTCATGGGCAGCTTCGCCTGCAGCCCAAGGGGTATTCTTCAACCCAAAGCCACATTCTTTCTTATGAAAAAGAGGCACACCGCATCTTGGCTAGAAGTGGTTCGGTTCTCCTTTTTGGCCTAGAAATCGGAGCTTGTCAAACGTTAGTGGGTGTTTCTTTTTATCATTATTATTTTTAGTATTGTGGGAAACCACTCATTTATGGGTATGGGTCAAAATAAAACCACCAGAAAACCGCAGGTTTTAGTCTTTGGCTCCATTTACCAGGGTTCCATTTTGGGTACGCAGTTTTGACCCATCTAAACAGCCCAGCCACGACCGCGCCGGGGTTTTTCTCTGCAGCCCCCAGCCCAGCAGCGCCGCGCTGATCAAGATCAAACCACCGAAGAAGAGGTCCGCCCCCTAGGCTCGCGCGACGGGGCGCTGGCTTGCGGGTGGTCGGCAGTGGGGCAGTGGGGCAGCGGGGCCGGCCCACGGGTAATGCGTGGATTTTTGAGAAATGGTTGCTTGTGTTCGCATAAAACTGGTTGTATTTGATGAGAACTTCCCATTGGACCCCTGGTTTGCAACTTGGCTGGACATCACGCAAATGGAGAAGGGAACTCCCCAAATGGACCCCGGCAAGGGCGAAACCACAAATACCACTGAAACCAAAACAGGGTCCCGAAGTTGAGGCACCTTCACCTTGATCCCTGTCCAATAAGCCGCTCGGGAATCCCCGAAGAGTTCGATTCATTCCGAAATGAGTACTCTCCAATGGAGGGCTTGAAGGGCAAACCCAAAATCAAGCCCACCACCTGTAGGATTTCCAGCCGCATCGAGGATTTGAGGTCCCGGCCCAGCTTTTGATCCACGGGATGCGCTCTCCATCCTGGCCGAGCTCCGAAGCAGGTCTCCACATGGAACCAACAACTGGGCCCTCCTTTGGCCTTTGGGGGTTTTCTACAAAGACCCGAAAAGAAAAAGTCACTCGCAAGACCTGCTACTTGCAAGACGTGCTACTTGTGGCCTTGTGAAGCCGGGAGTCCTTTGGTTCTCCTTCCATCCGCTTTACCCAGCTCAAATTGCTGCGCCTTGCCCACTCCGAAGCAGCAGCTCTCGCCCTCACGCCTCCTCGCATCGAGCTGAAAGAGTTGGCCATGGGTCAAAATCCAAAGCCCGCACCAGTGAACATCCCAATCCAACCACTAAAATAGGTTCTAACATCGGTGGTGCACCTACCCCAAAATGGGATCCCATTGGCTTTGACCCACAGCCAATCGTTTGTTGTTGTTTTTTGTTTTTGTTTTCCCTGAGTCACGGCCAGGGATCTGGCACTGTCCAAACCTTGACTCAAGGGAAAATATCTCCCCACTACCCACCATGGCAATTGATTAAAACCACCACAAAAAAATCGACACCCGAGACCAAATTCTGCTTGTTCCGGGGCCCCCGGAAGCCCAGCGTAACACATCCGGGCGATCTTTTGGAAGGTCCGCAAAAAAACTCCACAGCTTTTACCCTATATACCAACATGGGTTTGTGCGAGAAGGCCCTTACTTTCCAAGAGGAAAGTCGTCTAAGGTCTGTGCACCAAACCATGTTAGCTGGTAGGGTGGCCATGGGAACCCTGGTTGGTGAGAGGCCGTCTAGGCCTGCGGGAAACTTTAAGAGGGATTTGTCGAAGCCTTTCAAACCGGCATCGGCGACTACAACCTGACGCATTGCAGCGATGGTCAAACACATACATTTTAATTTTGACCGCCCAAAAAAATCCCCTGTGCCCCAATGAAATCGAGATATATCTCGCCGAGAGTCTCGCCTATCCAACCCCAGCCTGGCAATCCCAAACTCTAGAACCGCAACTTTGTCTTGACATGATTGCCCTTGAGCAGGCACACTGTTGGACCAAAACGAATCCCTCCAAAAACTGCGTCGCGGAGAGTCCTGCAGCACATGGCACATGCCGGCCGCTCCACCGCGCGAAGAAACAAAAGAAGTCGGTGGCTTCGCACGTTTCACCTGACGGCTCCTGCAGTCTTTTGGGCTGAAGTCTGTGCTCACTTTCCCTCTGCACGTCTTAATCCACTCAGTGACATCCGACCGAACCTGCGAAACATTTTGAACTGCGCGGCAGGCCAACGTCACTTTGTGGCTCATGCAATCTGCAAGCATGAACCTTCCAGCACACATCAACGTGCCGAAGCGAACACACAACCTGAGCCAAGTCATATTCCGCCGAGCGGCCACTGTGTTTGACCCTGATTCGTCCCGGCAAAATAGTGTATATGTTTGCAATGAAGATTCAAGGTATCAAATTGTTTACCATAATACACACTTTGCTGAACGATCATGGCGCCATAATCCAACAACTAAGCATATGAGATCAATATGTTATGTTCCGCAATCGATGGTTTGGCGAAAGAGACCTTCTATGCATTCTCTTGTAGAATTCAAGATGGCCCGGCCCGGCTGCAGCAATCGTCGAAGTTCAATCACAATGCACCAGCGATCAGTGGTACAGAGGAAGGCCAAACTCTTCGGCATGATTGCAGATCTTAAAGGCCATGTCCATGGAAGTCCCGGCCACCGCATCAATCGCAGCGGTATGCTCCGGGGACAAGGACCATGAGTCGCAGTCGGCGAGGAGGTTCGCCTTCATCCTCTCCGGGTTGGTGCTCTTCGTGATGACGTGGTAGTTCTTGTCCAGCGCCCAGCGCAGCGCGGCGAGGGCCGGCGAGGCCGCGGCGCCGGCGCCTTTTTCAGCGCCGGCGCCGGCGGCCTTCAGCGCCGGCAGCTCGATGTCGCGGGTCTTGCCCGCGCCCAAGGGGCAGTAGCACACCACCGCCACTCCCTGCGACAGGCACCAGTCAGCCAGCGCACGGTTCGGGTAGGAGGGGTGGATTTCCAGCTGGTTGCAGGCGATGGGATGTTTGGCGTAGGTCTGGATATCGGCAATCTGGAGGCAGGAGAAGTTCGAGACACCGATGTGGCGGCAGAGCTTGGCATCCACGAGGCTCTCCATGTCCGCCCAGACACGATACACCGGGATCTTTGCCCGAGCTGTCTTGCCATTGGCGTCCTTCGGGGCGGAGGTATCAAAACCGATGGGGGTGTGGATGAGGTACAGGTCCAGGTACTCGCATTGCAGGGCCGCGATGGACTTCTCGCACGCCGCCCTGACTTGGCTCCAGTCGGTCGCCCAAAGCTTCCTTGGTTGACGTTGGAAGCGGAGCAACAATTCAAATTTTAGCAGTTCAGTGGGGATTTCAACCACTAAGCCACAACAAGCAAACATGTAAAATGTTTCCCAACAACAACCATGCTTCGAGCAGATGAAGAGGTCAGCGCGAGTCACCAGCTTCTCGGCAAAGGCTCTGGCGAAAGCTTTGCCAACTTCCACCTCGTTGCCATAGATCTCGGCGCTGTCGATGTGCCGATAGCCCGCCTTGATGGCCTCGTACACCACGTCCTCAACTTGCCCGGCAGGCAACTCCCAACAGCCAAAGGCCACGCGAGGCATGAGCTTCAAGGACATTGGGACTGACCTTCGCCTGCTTGGGAACGACTAGTTGGCACCGTTATGAGCACATCATATGCTGCAGAAGCCGGAGAACTATGCATCACGAAAAGTAGGAGCGTGCCTACAAACCCGAAAGCCCTCAACCACAAAGGGTTTCCCGCGCAAAAAACGAAACTGACGGGTGGTGTGCGCATTTGTTTCGTTGGCTGAGGTAATCTCTGGCAACCTAGCGCCCAAGTTCTGTGTGTCTGTGTGTGTGTTGTTTTGGCTCAGCAGTTTCAATGTTGGAAGGAGGTGAGGCACGAAATTTAGGCGCACGCATGTCTAGCGTAAACCTATGTCTGAATCTCACAACCGCACGGCCGCACGGACTTGTGCCTAACGCAGTGAGAAATAGTTCTGGGAATAAACCAAATTTCAACTCAAAGCGAAACCGGGCTTGGGAGGTCTTCATTGTCAACAACTGTGCCATGGTCAAGACTCATGTCGGTCGTGGTCACGGTGCCCGTAACAGGAACCTTTAGATTGGTCGTCTAAATTCCCTACCAAGGGTGTCCGTGACCGTGCCTGCTAATTCACAAGCAACGGCATCTTTGAACCTGACGCAAGTGGCACGCGCAACTTTGCACGGCGCAGCCTGACCCGTACCCCTGGCAACACGGCTCCAGCACGGATGCCCATAGTCCTACCAAAGACGAAGAGGTGAGGAGATAAAGGCAGACACAATGGCAGACACGGACACACATGGAGCAACACACAGAGACACATTGAGACACAACAAAGCAGATGCACAGACAGACAGAGACACAGAGGCGCAGAGACACACAAAACACAGACACCGACAGACAGAGACACAGAGACACAGAGAGAAAGAGACACAAAAACATAGAGACACAGAGGCGCAGAGACACAAAAGACACAGACTCAGACAGACAGAGACACAGAGAGATAGAGACACAGAAACATAGAGACACAGAGGCGCAGAGACACAAAAGACACAGACACAGAGAGATAGAGACACAGAGACATAGAGACACAGAGACAGAGAGGCACAGAGACACAAACAACACAAACACAGACAGACAGAGACACAGGCGAAAATGTCATCCTGTTGCAAAGAAGGGCCATCAACCGAGATCAGTTACGATTGCCAGGAGACATCAAAACTTTTGGCATAGGTGGCTCTTTCGCAACGGGATCGAGGTCAGATCCCAGACTCATTGGAGACGTCTAGCTTGAAACTGGTGCTTCACGTGCACTGACACGGGTTGGCTCACAACCGTGGGCTTTGCGACGTGTGGCCCCTGTCCCAGTGCCTGGGCCCAGATCCTGACTGCCGAGTTGGAATCCGACTACCCGCTTCGGATCAGCGAGGACTTGGGCCCAAGAGGGCTCAACCCTGTCAGCACGTTTCCTAGTGTTGACAAAGGCTTCAAAAACCGCGTCATGTAGGGCCTTGATCTGATCGCAACTGAGCCTACGAGGGAGTTTCCAATCCCGCCGCCGAATCAGCCAAGAAATCCATGAAGATCATGGGCGATTTTAACAGGGAGCTGCATGAATGGCTGTTCCTGCTTGCCAAAGCGTGGAAGACGTGTTTCCATTGCTGTCTCCGGCCCTGAACCGCAAGATTTACGGTTTGAATCTTGATCACTGCTTCAAGCCGTAAGGGAACATGCATCAAAAGACAAAAGAGTACGACCGACAAAAGGTGCGCTCCGCTCTTTTTCTTTATGAGGAGTTGCTTGGAGGTCCAGGCTCGGGGGTGCAGGAGGAAAGACAATGCGTGTCCTTGCCCTGTGCCTGCACCCCCATGCGGAGCCTGCTCAAACGCCCCCCAGGTTAACAACGCGTGCTCAACCTTTCACAGGGTGTGTTACCCTTGACGTGAAATGCAAAAGGGTGACATTGAAATGCAACAAGATGCAACGCGTGCATCTTGTAGGTGATGATGAAGCAAGCGTCCTCAATCATTGACCGATTAGAGGTCTTACACCTGAGGCGAGGTACGAGTTATGAAACCGCCAGGCAAGGCCTGCGAGCTTGTGCTGGATGCTTCCACCTCAGATATGCAAGGGTGGGTGGGTGGGCGCAAAAAAGGGATAGAACCCTCAAGGCATGACCCTTAAGAAGCTTGAAGCAGAAAACGGCAACGCGTCCGCAATCAAGATGCAAACATGAGGGGAGAAGGAAAACCCCAAACGTTAGAATCTTGATCACTGCTTCAAGCCGTAAGGGAACATGCATCAAAAGACAAAAGAGTACGACCGACAAAAGGTGCGCTCCGCTCTTTTTCTTTTTGAGGAGTTGCTTGGAAGTCCAGGCTCGGGCGCGCAGAAGGAAAGACAATGCGTGTCCTTTCCCTGTGCCTGCACTCCCATGCGGAGCCTGCTCAAATGCCCCCACTTCAGGGTTCTAATCTATCGCCCGAAGCACGCTTATGTTCCGGCCGCCAGGGTGCGTACGCCGGGGCGCACCCGGCGGCAGCCACGCTGAGCACCGACTTCAAGATCCAGAGCGTCCGAGTTCTGGCGGCTCGGCAAGCTGGAGGCTTCGATGCCAGGCAGGACGTGGCGGCTCGTAAAAGCGTCAAGTGCCAAAAAGCCGTCAAAAACCTCGAAAAACCAGGCGCGGAAGAGCGGCTGGAGCGCCAAAATCTCCGGGGGCTGATTTGACGCTTTGACACTTTTGACGGTTTGGACGCCCTGTCAAATCGGAATTCCAATGCCTGATTTGCTTCGATTTGGCAAAGGGTCAAACCGTCAAAAGCGTCAAAGCGAAAAGGAGGTGTAATCGGCCCGGCAGGCTGGACGTTGCGGAGGCTTCGACACCAGGCCATTGTTGAGGCAAAAATGAGTCATCTTGAATCGACGGAAGGTCAACAATGGATCAATCTTGACAAGGCCAAGCTCTCTCTTTAGAGGCTACCTGGGAGGCTTCTGACACTCGTCCGTCCAGGAAAAGACCTCGTCCTGCAAAGGATTCGACATCTAAAACGCTGCGTGCAGGCGTGTGGCTGCAACAAAACGACCCCTAGATATGCGCCGCAATTTGCCTCCAGGTTGCGTTTCAAGCAAGGTCGAGGTTTGCCAAAGCAAACCCCTTTTCACCCCTTTTTTCTTTTTTTTGTTTTTTCCTTAGCCCTGCAAAGCTCGGCTTGCTTGAAATGCAACCTGGAGGCAAATTGCAAGCGTATCTAGGGCTCGTTTTGTTGCAGCCACACGCCTGCACGCAGCATTTTAGATTTTGAATCCTTCGCAGGACGCGGTCGTTTCCTGGACGGACGAGTGTCAAAAGCCTGCAGGTGCAACAGAATCCGTTTTGGGGAATAGCCTCTAAAGATAAAGAGAGAGTACCGCACCCATTTCCGGGAAAACAGTGCAATTCCAAAACTGCCTAGTTTGGTGTGGATGGTCCATCGATTTCCACCAAGAGACCATCGAACTCACACCACTAAAGACTCTTAAGCTTAAGGAGCAATTGCATGCCCTGCTCCAACCCAAGAGAATTAAGAGGAAACTCTTGGAGCAAGTGCTGGGGCTGCTCATCAGCAACCAGCCTGAGCCTAGTTGAGATCTTGGCTTGCGCCATTGTACGCAGATCTGCATTTGCCGACGAACCATCAGGCTGTCGACGAGGATCTCCGCACCGGCTTCGGCAGCATCGCGCAGACGCTGCAGCAGGCTCAGTCCCGCAACCCCAGCATCTTCAGACAAAAAGTGAAATGCCCCTGAAAGGTCAGCGCCCGCTTGGGCAACCTTGCTTGGCTCACCTTCAAGGGACTGGACGGCACGATGACGGACCTGTTCATCCACCTGGTGGCCGGCACGGGCGTCTCGGCGCTCGACTAAATCCAAAAAAAGCCCCTCTTAGCCAGTTTCGGCAGCGCCAAAAAACTAGCAAAAACTCCAAAAAATCCCGCTGTCATTCTTAGGCATTTTTGGCTAGAGACGACGGTACAGTGAGGGAACACCTGGAGCACCCCGTTTTTGGAGCCAGAAGTGGTCTCAAAAACAAGACCTCACAAATCAGCCAAAATCGCGATTGCTGGTTTATCCTTGTTCGACAAGTTGGATATTTGTACGTTATGCTGAAGGACAACTTATATTCCGCATAAACAGCACAGACGTACTGTGTCATGAACTCCGTGTCACAGCGGAACTGACTGCAGTAAGCCACAGAAAATGACCATGGAACAGCAGGACTGCACAGGCTTACGGTTTAGGACGCGTTGATTGAGCCGCAAGAAAACCAAATTGCACACAACACATGTGAGAGAGCAAGCACGAACACTTTCCCTTTTTCCAATTTCATGATGGTCCACGCGAAGTGTTCTCTCTAGGGCTTAGGCTGCTGTATTGCGAGTGGGACGCCTGCTAATGATGTACGTTAGACTAGGTAAGACCACTTCCGGTCAAACTCGTGTCACACGCTCATGTCAACGACACGCGCTGAAAATTACACATCTGGAGCTCACTGCAGAAACAAGGCACCACAGACAACATTCCGCCCTCTTTTTGGCCGTGCGGCCACTCAGTCTTCCCCGTCATGATGCTTCGCATAACATGATCGCCGCGAGGCGACAATCCCGACGGTCCATCCATCCATCAAAGGAAAACCGCTCTGACCAGTAAAAGCATGGCGCTGGAAATGGAAATCCTTCAATGAGCAAACAGCTGTGCGTGGTCACACCCAAAGCAAACAAAACCACCAACTAACAAACGCACAGGCCAGAAGACACTTCCGACACAGCGCGAATGTCTAAGCTTTTGTTCTTGGAGCTCCTATTGTTTTTTAAACTCTAAGACAGGTTATACCAACATAAACATGCAACAGCATGGTGCCGCCGCTACAGTCGCCGACTACTCGTCCTCCAATTCATAGACATTTGAAACAACAAAACTACTGGGGCTTAGGGTTTGGGATGCGTCGATGAGGCGGGCGACGCAGCAAACTTCTGTGTGACACATGCGTCAGAATGTGATGCAGGCACAGACATGGCCGACAAAAATGCAATCCGGCAACCGAGCGTCGTACAAAATACGCCAAGACAATTTTCTCGTCTGCTGCAAGCCAGT